GTCTGAGTTCAGAACAACGGGAGCACCAACTCGAGCACTACGATTGTTACCACATTGTCGTTGAAAATGTCTACCGCAAAAGTAGACAAAACGTCAGCCATAAAAACCTGCAAACTACGGCCAAAACACCGGAAAATAGCGTTCACGCACTTATCTGAATACTGTTTATGAAGGACGATGGATCGGTCGCCGAGGATCATATGAAATTGCCTCCAAGATCATCAGATCTAACTCCCATAATCTAGGGGTTATCTAAAACCAAAAGTATACGAGACTTGATGACCCTATTCAGAGGTGGCGTGCGCGGATTATGGAAGTGTGTGCAAAAATTAGTGAAGAAACTTTGCAAGAATCCTTTTCCGACCGTATCGCTTCGATTACTCGACTCAACAGACTCACGTCACGCTGACGCACTCCTTTTATATAAGGAAGGTTCTAGTCTAGACTCGAAGCATATGGAAAATTATATTAATCAATAGGGTGTTTCCGCTTGTTGGTAAGAGATGGCATCTATGACTGAGTTGTTTACTGGAACTGGTACCTAACTAACAGTCTCTTGCTTGTCTGCCTTTGAAATTACTTACAAATATAGTGTGCGCATTTTGAAACATTCCAAGAGGAATCGAGTGAAGTCTAAAAGCCCTAAAAAACAAGATTATATTTTCTGTGAAACATTGTGCCAATCCGGCCCCCGGATGTGGCACTGGTTGAACCAGTCGATGATGCTATTTAGATCTTGTTCAATTTCAAATTTGAGGTCATTCTATGTCTCACCGATATAAAAAATGACAGCATACACACTATTTCATCTGATGTTTATGAAGTTAATAAGTTACTGATGTAAATAATGAATAGTACCAGTCCCAAAATCGTACCTTATGGAATTCCACACCATAATAGACATTCCCACGAACTCTCATAGCTTGTAAGGCCTCCAACTGCCGAGTTTCATCCACAGTGTCGAAGGCAAGATGAAGGAAGATGAAGGAATACTCTTTGCATTTCAAAGTACAGTCAAATACTGACACCAGCATCATAAAGTGTGTTTGTGGTTGCTACTCCATTCGACATTGTCATCTTACAAAATATATAAATCTTAGATTTCATATTTATCCCAAGAGTTAGTGATAATCCTGCAACCGAATTTTGCGTGAAAGTAGATTTTTCAGATGAATATAACTGATTACTTTCCGAGAAGATAATAGCATATTCAAAGATTACTCATATTTCTTATTTTCATCCACCTTTCTACGTGCTCACTTTTTGAACGTATCTACCATCAAGGCTTTCATTATACAATGTGTCCAAGATAAGGATCCTAAGCATGGGAATCTCAGTACCTGTTGGAGATACAGCTTAGGTTAAATTAGCAAAAAGTTGTGTTCTTTAAAACTTATTTACATGCCGTTTAGAAACTTAAGATATTTGGGAAAAACGAGAATTTGACAATATCAATTTTATTTTTTTCTGACTTTATTTGAAAAGATATCAAAAAACGAATAGCACTTTTTCACTGGCACTTTCAAGGTACTACACGATGATATTTTTAGTTTCTATATCCGACGTTTCGTTTTCAAAAAACCATCATCAACTTTATTTTTTTAAATAGCCCGAAAAAAAAGTACACCCTATATCTGATTCCATTTTTATTACGAATTCAACGATGTATTTCCCAAATTTTTTGTATGAAGAAGGAGAAGTTGAAAGCCAAAATCCTTCTATTTAAACCATCAAAACTTTCCTGAATTGCTACCTTAATGTCAAAAATATTTACTAGGCTTTCTACTGTGCCAAATCAATAGAGAGTATGCTGAAGTGTAATAAAGGGCAAACTGAAACGTTCACCACAAAAAGTTTCTTTTTCGTTTTCAAAACCTGCAATTTACTATAAAACTCTCACCCCAAACATTGATAGCTCTAATTCCTTTGACACACGTCACATTGATGAAATATCTAGAGGTCACAGGCGACAGACTACATGAACAAACATACTGAGTATTTTTCGACAATTCAGTTCAGTTAAGGTTCATATTCCCGCTTTCAACATTTCTTCTTTGTAATGGTAACCAGGCACCATCTACATATCTATTCGAATAACACTTACCTGCTAAAAGAATATGTGCGCATTCTTTAATTTTTCTCATTTCTTCATGTTTCACTTCATTCTATAGGTTTATCACCAGTTGATTTAGAATATGCTCCGCCATCCCCGATTCTGCCATATTACTACTAACTTGGCTATTTTTACGGGCTGACTAATTGGTTATCTACTTAACAGACAGTTGTAAAAAATAATTTTCAGTTCAATTGAGACGGTAGCATATGTTGTCAACATTATTCTGCAAAGTTCTGAAAATCATTATAATAATGATCGTTACCAGTGATATTTTCATATACAATTTTTTCTACAATGATCAAATTCCTGTGCTCTTAGGAAACTAGTTGGGAAATTGATTCATATTTTTATGCAGTTCAAAATTAGTAATTTCGGTATCAATTTTCCAATTTGAAAAAATCCAAATCATTTTCAACCCGCATGGTTTGAGATTTGAGAGTATTTTCAGAGAAAATATAATTGGTCAGATAGAATAGATCCGCTTTACATTACCACCATAAATAGGAAAACTCCACTTTTCATTATTCTTGCCTAAACACCTATTGATCGATTCCATTGCTACTTGAAGGTGTACCTCAAGACTCACATTCGGAGTCACTCGTTTTATCATCTGCCCTAATGTGCTGGTCGCATCCCAGAAAATGACTATCAATGATCACTCCTAGATATTTAATATTCAGTGCAGTGCAGTTTTACATCTTCATTTTGGAGACGAATGTGTAGCTAGTGAAAGACGGCAGGTTTGAGGAAAGGGGTGTAGAAGGTACATAGAGATTGATAGAGAGTAATTTATTTTCGAAACGAAAACTTTATCGAGATCTTGTTTAGATTTTTTTCTGACCAGTTTGTGTGTGCCAGTTTGTGCCGTGATATGTAATTGCCGTGTCATCGACAAGCTTTGAAAAGCTTATATTTTTTGATGAGATAAAAAGATCATTAATATATAAGTTGGATAGCAGTGGTCTCAGTACTGTGCCTTGGGAAACATCATAACTTATTTTCCTTTCTCTGCTGTCTATTATATCAATCTTTAAAATTTATTATCTATTTCGTACAGACTTCTCATCAAAATGTTAGCGACACCTCTGAATCCAAAACATTCGGGTGCGTGGAGGATTTGAGTGTGATCAATCGTGTTGAAGGCTTTGACTGGATCCAAAAAGATGCAAATGGCAGGTTCCTTTTATGAATATATAACTATGATGTTACCTCTTCCATTGAATTCTCCTTCGATTTACTTGCCCGAAATCCATACTGTTTTTTGATAGAAGATTGAATTTTTCAAAGTACTTATCTATAGGTTTTCTTGATGATTTTTTTGAGGACTTTCGCAATTTACATAGCTAGAAATTTCATTTTATCATCATCATTTTTTTGGTTCCCAACTTCTCCATCAATATCTCGAATTGACGTCAGCTTCTGTCTAACTTGTGATTCACAGCATCCCAAAAAAAACTTTTCCAATTTTTCGAGTGGATTTTATTCCATAATAGAATTAAAGATATCCATCAAGTCAAGTAAACTTGAGGGTCTTTGACCAAAGCAACAAAAGTGATGTATCAGCAAAGACCGGAAATGAAAAGAAAAAAATCAATTCACTCGGCATTAGCTAAAGCACATACTGGAACCCGAATCGTTCAGGCCTTCCAGCATTGACAATCCCCATTTATATATCCACTTTGGAATTGTTTTCCGAGCCATAAATGAAATGGCGGTCATCAGAGCCAACTACAAAAAGGTTGATCCTATTTATTAGCAGTTCAAGCGATTTCGAATACAGGGAACAGTGGCGGACCAATTGGATACTTAGGTAGAATGACCCGTCGTAATGTGCGAGTACTTAGTTGGGATAAAGTTTATAGTTGCACTAATGAAACGAGTAATATTAGTAGGATCGGTGTAAGTTGATAATAAGCATATATAAGGAGAGGGTTGCCTTAATTATATTTATTGAATCAGTAGAAGTTGGAAAATTTGATGTCCTCAGACATCAGTATCGCCCTTCACGGTGTACCCCTACCTGGCTCGGATGGGTTGGATGAAAAATTGTTCGTCCATTAACGGGGGACATGAGGGCTTCATTCGACAGAGTGTTGGGGCCTTCTATATCGGGAGGGGTCGTCTACAGTGTATTTCCTAACTAAAGGGTTTTCGTGAGTTTCAGCACAATCAAAAACTCGCCGATTCCTCGACTGAATGAACTGCTTGATGGAAGGCAGCTGCAAATCTCTGCGGATGGCTTCATTCCGCATGAACCACGGAGCATTCACAATTATTCGTATTAGCTTAATTTGTAATCTCTCCAGAATGGAGATGTTAGACGGAGCCGCTTGTCCCCAGACGCCTGAAGCATACATGATGACAGCCTTGAATTTCGTTTTATAGATCGCAATTCTGTTCTTCAGGCTCAGTTTGGATCGTCTATTGATCAGAGAGTACAGACTTTTGTTCCGACCCTCGATCTTTGGCTTAACGGTTGTGATGTGCGGGTTCCAGGTGAGCTTACGGTCTATTAGAAGACCGAGGTACTTTACCCAAGTTTGCCAGTCGATCTCCCTTCCAAAGATCCTCTCTTTGCTGGCCGAAGAAGGTATCGTTCTTCCCATGGTTATCGCCTGAGTCTGTGGCACTCCAGCGAGGATCTCTTTGTTTCAGACAGGGTTCCTCTACTCTTACCTGAAATGTTCTGTCTTTCAGGAAAGACCCAATCCACCGAATCAGGCCCCGAGGCAGGTCGAACGCGACTAGCTTATGCAGAAGACCTTTGTGCCATACACGGTCGAAGACTTTCGAGCCATACACGATCGAAGACCTTCGATATGTCTAAAAGGACGACATGAACTTTTCTATTATGATTTAGCTCTGCGATGGTGTTTTCGACCAGTCTCAGTGCCTGTAGCTCAGTAGAGTATTCTCTCCTGAACCAAATTGTTAGAACATTTCGGTCTTCAACTTCTTCGTTGAGTCTTTGCAGAACGACTCTTTCAGCCAGCTTAACCGTCGACGAGAGCAGACTGATGGGGCGATAGTTCTGTGGGAACAGCAGGTTCTGACTCTGTTTTGGTATCATGACAACGATCGCATGCTTCCACCTTCTAGGGAAGTATCTAAGGGCCAACGAGCTGTTTATAATCTGAATTAGACTTTCGACGCAGTTGTAATTCCATACTAATGGAAATTATCAAGAAACATTACCTCCAATTTTTCAGTTATCCTTTTTCTCTGATACATACCACACTGTATGGAGTTGTTAGTACCTAGATAGTACCGAAAATATAGCTCTGTAACACACCTATCTGCATGAAGTCGTATTTAAAAATCATATTAACTGAGTTGAAGAAGATATTATTGATACCTCTCAGCGCATAGCAACCTTGACACATTTGAAAGCACCGTATTTTGAACACGAAGATACAAATGATACTGAAATATTGTTTCAACGAGAGGTGATTTAAACATGAAGATACCTGAAAGCAATCAAGAAATTTTTCAGTGTACCAAATCATTTTGAAATCAGGTATGTAGATAATGAAAATGTGTATGAGAAAATTCAGATAATTTATTGTTTTTGTTGTTACTTTAACTGATTCTCCTGAATACATTATTTTTAAGGTCTCAGAAATGAATTTTATTTCACATGATTTGGCAACTCAAAAACAATAATTTTTGTTTATGTTGATGTCAACATGCATGAGTCATTTATAATGAAAATGGAAAGGGTTCCAAGTCTGAACTTTGAAGCACCCCGCATTTTATCATTCATGACAAGTGTTTCATGGTGAATGTTACTAGTTTGAACTTCCATTGTCCAATATGATTCTGGTATGATTTGAAAGAATAAATGAAATCAGAATGAAAAGCTAAAATTATCAGTTATATTGGGAAATAAAACGTGAAATGAAATTACAACTAAGAAAATTGAGGGAAAAAGTCGAAATTGAACAATTGAAAATGCAATTGAAAAATCAAAAAATATCAAACCAAGTTACTTACGACGTTTCGATTGTTAGTATCCATAATCGTCTTCGGGTGATAACTGGACTATTCCTTCGAGTGATGACTATTTATAGGAACGCTTTCACCTATAACCTGTTCCCTCTCTCCGCTTCAATGGTTTAGCGATAGATGACCGTCTTTTTGCTTGATAATCGGTTTCCATGTGTACTTTATCTCTACGCTAGCTTGACTGAATACGTCGTTGGACAACACATATACATCTTCTTTGAATTTCCTATTGAACCAGTGATCATCCCTGTAGATGATCTCAGCTTGGGACCACTTGATGATGTTGATGAGTCCAAACATGCTCTGCTATTCTCAATTTGTTAGTTTCTCTGCGCTGTGTGTGTTTATTGTGCTCTGCAATGTGGACTTTCAATGACCTCTTAGTTTCACCGACATATGATTTGCCGTACTCACAAAGTATCCGGTAAATGCAATTCTTCTAATCGCAGTCCGCATTTGGTGGCTTGGTTTTCGTGAGACTACGCTTTGATGACTTTGATGGGTGATGACTGGACTATTCCTTCAAGTGATGACTATAGGAACGCTTTCACCTATAACCTCTTTCCTCTCTCCGCTTCACTGGTTTAGCGATAGATGACCGTTTTTCCGCTTGAAAACCGGTTTCCATGTGTACTGTATCTCTACGCTAGCTTGGCTGAATGCGTCGTTGGACAAAACATATACATCTTCTTTGAATTTCCTATTAAACCAGTGATCATCCCTGTAGATGATCTCAGCTTGGGACCACTTGCTGATGTTGATGAGTCCAAACATGCTCTGCTATTCTCAATTTGTTATAGTTTCTCTGCGCTGTGTGTGTTTATTGTGCTCTGCAATGTGGACTTTCAATGACCTCTTAGTTTCACCGACATATGATTTGCCGTACTCACAGAGTATCAGATAAATGCAATTCTTCTAATCGCAGTCCGCATTTGGTGGCTTGGTTTTCGTGAGACTACGCTTTGTATGGTGTTTCCAGATTGAAGGAGGTTCTAATGTTGTACTTGGACCTAATTGTCCTTATCATTTCAGAAAATCCTCTGACGTAGGGAGATCAAGCACTGGTTGTGACGGCTCATCTTCCTTGTGAGGCTCTTGCTGTCTCCTAACTAAAATCTGTTCCACCATCATCTTGGAGTAACCATTGCATTGAAGATAATTTCTGATGATACCTAATTCGCTCTTGATACCTCTCTTTGTCTGACAGATACTGAAAGCACGGTCTACTAGAGTCTTGATGATTTCTCTTTTGGTAGATTGATGGTAGTAGGAAACGTAATTCAGAAACTGTCATATATGAGTTGATTTTTCGTATGGAGATGTTTCCTACTTCGTGACGGGCTTCTTCACCAATACGTCTAAAAATGGAAATTCGTTGTGGATTTCCTCCTACATTGTGAAGTTGATGGATACTTTAACATAATAGCTTCTTCTAATGACTGGGATATCGGAATATCAGTACATAATTGTGCTTGTTTTTTCACTCTCCTTTCCGTTTTATGTTCCAACACTGGACAGTTTCAGTTGCAATATACGTAGATGCGTTGCATAATAAAACTAACTCATGGTTGAAACTGGATCCGACACCGATAGAAACGTTACTCTATTACCAACACTATGCATTTAAATTGGATCAATTTTTCTGGAAAGAATTTAATGACATTTGAATAGGACACGACCAACACATTTTCCACTAGTCGGTTTTATCGTTGATGTACCTGGGTCGATGCATATATGAATACACAAGCGCCTATTCAATAAACGTTTTTTCGATAATGTCATACGAATGTTCACTCTGTTGAGATATTTTCTGCCAAGCGGTTGAATGCGATTTCGCACTGAATTATAAACTTTGCATTGAAACGTAAACATTCTGCAAAAATTCATCAAAAACTCATTCAGATTTCTTTCAGATGTATAATTGAACAGTATGAGTCGATGGGTAGAATAACACAGAATCATATGATATCACTCAGTTGTTCACCTAAAAGAACCTTCTATTTGAATATTACTGGATTTGTATTCCAACACCAAACCGTTATTTTCAACACCTTGATACGTGTTTTAATCACCAAGTGATCATCTTCAAGGGAAAGATTAAACTGTCTCTTTAGAAACCGAATATTNGTATCAAGATGGAGTAGTAGAACGCCAAAAATTTCTTTTCACAAAAATTAATCACTC